CAGGATGGTCTCGATCTCCTGACCTCGTGATCCGCCCGTCTCGGCCTCCCAAAGTGCTGGGATTACAGGCTTGAGCCACCGCGCCCGGCCCAATGCCCTATTATCTATCCCCCAACCTCTCCCAGATCCCAGCAACCACCGTTTACTTTCTGTCTCTATGGATTTTCCTATTCGGGACATTTCATTTCAACAGAATCCCAATATGTGGCTTATGGATGTGGCTTCTTTTATTTAGTATAACGTCTTCAAGGCTCATCCACATGGCAGCATGGATCAGCTGGTACTTCACTCCTTCTTATGATGGAATCATAATTTTCCATTGCCCTGATATACCACATTTTGTTGATCCATTCACCAATTGACAGGTATTGGGGATGTTTCTGTTTGGCTGTTGGGAATAACGCGACTATGAACATTGAGGTACAAGGTTGTTTTTTGTTTTTTTTGAGACGGAGTCTCGCTCTGTCCCTCAGGCTGGAGTGCAGTGGCACGATCTCGGCTCACTGCAAGCCCCGCCTCCCGGGTTCACGTCATTCTCCTGCCTCAGCCTCCCAAGTAGCTGGGACCACAGGTGCCCGCCACCACGCCCGGCTAATTTTTTTGTAGTTTTGGTGGAGACTGGGTTTCACCGTGTTAGCCAGGATGGTCTCGATCTCCTGACCTCGTGATCCATCCGCCTCTGCCTTCCAAAGTGCTGGGATTACAGGCGTGAGCCGCCGCACCCGGCTGATGTACAAGATTTTATGCAGCCATATCCTGGAGGGGTTTTAAACAGAGGAGCAGACATGATTGTGTTGGATTGTAAGAAACTGCTGCTGTTGGCCAGACGCGGTGGCTCACGCCTGTAATCCCAGCACTTTGGGAGGCCAAGGTGGGTGGGTCACCGGAAGTCAGGAGTTCGAGACCAGCCGGGCCAATATGGTGAAACCCTGTCTCTACCAAAAATACAAAAATTAGCCGAGCATGGTGGCGGGTGCCTGTAATCCCAGCTACTCGGTAGGCTGAGACAGGAGAATCACTTGCACCTGGGAGGCGGAGGTTGCAGTGGGCCGAGATCACACCACTGCACTCCAACCTGGGAGACAGAGTGAGACTCCGTCT